GGGGCTGCCGGCCGCTTAGGGGCGCTGCCCGAGCGCTACGCAGAGCGGGCGCCTCTGCGGCACGGCCGGGGGGCGGAGAGGGGCGGGCGCGGGGCGGGCTCGGCCCGGAATGTAGAGACCCAGGCGGGAGCCTCCCGGCGGTGGCCCGGCGGCCGGGCGCGGAGGCTCCGTCACGTGTTTTTCTCCTCCGAGTGAGACGGCGGCGCGGCCGGAGGGGGCCGGCGCGCTGATCCAGACGGCGGCGCTTGTTTTGGTTGGGGCTCTCGGCAACTCTCGGAAGGGGAGAAGGAGGAGGAGGAGCAGGGAGGGGAGAAGTAACTGCGGCGGCTGCGCCTCCGGGGGAACGGGCGTCTTCCCCGAATCCTGCCCCAGCCTCCCCCCGCCTCCTCCCTCGACCGCTCCCCCCTCTCCCCTGCCGACTCGAGCGAGGGGCAGGGATGAGCCTGTCCCTCCGGACCGTCCCCGGCTGCCCAGTAGCGTTTCGCGTGGAAAAGCCACTTTCCCCGCCCGCCGAGATGGGCTCCAGTGTGGGCTGCAGAGGACGCGTCCGCGGACGGTGGCAGCGACAGCCGCAGCGCCGCGGTCTCCGCAATTGAGCTGGTATTTGGGCGACTGGTGGCGGCGGGGACGGTTGGGGGGTGGGAGGAGGCAGAGGAGGCGGCGAAGGAGGAGGAGGGAGAACCCCGTGCAACGTTGGGACTTGGCAGCCCGCCTCCCCCTGCCCAAGGATATTTAATTTGCCTCGGGAATCGCTACTTCCAGAGGGGAACTCAGGAGGGAAGGCGCGCGCGCGCCTGGAGGGGCCACGCGGGGACCCCGGCCGCTGCTCCCTCCCTGCGCGGGACTCAGCGGAGGAGGAGAGAGATGCATCTTCGCTGTTTTTCGGCTGTGGCGGCCGAGAGGAGACTTGGCTCTTGGCGGATTGTAGCTGCGCTCACCCCGGACGCCCTGCCTCGCGCTTGGGCATGAAACGCCCGTGAACTCCGACCGCGTTATCTTCCCCTGCGCAGCCACTGCGTCCTCCTTCAGCGGCCCCTCCCTCCCCAGCGCGGGGGGCGGCGTGGATTTCGGAACCTGGGTTTCTGCTGCCTCCAGCCCTGTTTGCATGTGCCGGGCCGCGGCAAGGAGCCTCCGCCCCCCACCCAGTTGTTTTTCGGCACCTCCCTCGGCTCCACGGCGGTGGCGGCGGCAGCATGGCGAGCCCACCGGATACCGAGGGCTTCTCGGACGTGCGCAAGGTTGGCTACCTGCGCAAACCCAAAAGCATGCACAAGCGCTTTTTCGTGCTGCGGGCAGCCAGCGAGGCCGGGGGCCCGGCGCGTCTGGAGTACTATGAGAACGAGAAGAAGTGGCGGCACAAGTCGAGCGCCCCCAAACGCTCGATCCCCCTGGAGAGCTGCTTCAACATCAACAAGCGGGCTGACTCCAAGAACAAGCATCTGGTGGCTCTCTACACCCGGGATGAGCACTTTGCCATTGCGGCGGACAGCGAGGCCGAGCAAGACAGCTGGTACCAGGCTCTCCTGCAGCTGCACAACCGTGCCAAGGGCCACCACGACGGGGCTGCGGTGCCCGGAGCGGGAGGCTGTGGGGGCAGCTGCAGCGGCAGCTCCGGTCTTGGGGAGGCCGGGGAGGACTTGAGCTATGGAGATGGACCCCCAGGACCTGCGTTCAAGGAGGTCTGGCAGGTGATCCTGAAGCCCAAGGGCTTGGGTCAGACAAAGAACCTGATTGGCATCTACCGCCTCTGCCTGACCAGCAAGACCATCAGCTTCGTGAAGTTGAATTCTGAGGCAGCGGCCGTGGTGCTGCAATTGATGAACATCAGGCGTTGCGGCCACTCGGAGAACTTCTTCTTCATCGAGGTGGGCCGTTCTGCAGTGACGGGGCCTGGTGAGTTCTGGATGCAGGTAGATGACTCGGTGGTGGCCCAGAACATGCATGAGACGATCCTGGAAGCCATGCGGGCTATGAGCGATGAGTTTCGCCCCCGCAGCAAAAGCCAGTCTTCATCCAACTGCTCCAACCCCATCAGCGTCCCCCTGCGCCGGCACCATCTCAACAACCCTCCGCCCAGCCAGGTGGGACTGACCCGCCGGTCTCGCACGGAGAGCATCACTGCTACCTCTCCAGCCAGCATGGTGGGCGGGAAGCCTGGTTCCTTCCGCGTGCGCGCTTCCAGTGATGGTGAGGGCACCATGTCCCGTCCAGCCTCGGTGGATGGCAGCCCTGTGAGTCCTAGCACCAACAGAACGCATGCCCACCGGCATCGAGGCAGCTCCCGCCTGCATCCCCCACTCAACCACAGCCGCTCCATCCCCATGCCTTCCTCGCGCTGCTCACCTTCGGCCACCAGCCCCGTGAGCTTGTCGTCCAGCAGCACCAGTGGCCACGGCTCCACTTCAGACTGCCTCTTTCCAAGGCGCTCGAGCGCTTCTGTTTCTGGCTCCCCCAGTGACGGTGGTTTCATCTCTTCTGATGAATATGGCTCTAGTCCCTGTGATTTCCGAAGTTCTTTCCGCAGTGTCACCCCAGATTCCCTGGGCCACACCCCACCGGCCCGTGGAGAGGAGGAGCTGAGCAACTACATCTGCATGGGTGGCAAGGGGGCCTCCACCCTGACGGCTCCCAATGGTCACTACATTTTGTCTCGGGGTGGCAATGGCCACCGCTACATCCCAGGAGCGGGCTTGGGCACCAGCCCAGCATTGGCTGGGGATGAAATAGCCAGTGCTGCAGATCTGGATAATCGGTTTCGGAAGAGGACTCACTCAGCAGGGGCGTCCCCTACTATTTCCCACCAGAAGACCCCCTCCCAGTCCTCAGTGGCTTCCATTGAGGACTACACAGAGATGACACCTGCCTGCCCACCAGGAGGTGGCAGTGGAGGCCGACTGCCCAGCTACCGGCACTCCGCCTTTGTGCCCACCCACTCCTACCCAGAGGAGGGTCTAGAGATGCACCCCACAGAGCACCGTGGGGGTCACCACCGCCCAGACCCCTCCAGCCTCCACACAGATGATGGCTACATGCCCATGTCGCCAGGGGTGGCCCCTGTGCCTGGCAACCGAAAGGGCAGTGGGGACTATATGCCCATGAGTCCCAAGAGCGTGTCTGCCCCACAGCAGATCATCAACCCCATCAGACGCCACCCCCAGAGAGTAGACCCTAACGGCTACATGATGATGTCTCCCAGTGGGAGCTGCTCCCCTGACATGGGAGGTGGGTCGAGCAGCAGTAGCAGCATTAGCGTCGCCCCTTCCGGGGGTAGCTATGGGAAGCTGTGGACCAATGGAGTTGGAGGCCACCACTCTCATGCCCTGTCTCATCCCAAGGCCCCTCTGGAGAGCGGTAGTGGCAAGCTCTTGCCTTGTACAAGTGACTACATGAACATGTCGCCCGTTGGAGACTCCAATACCAGCAGCCCCTCTGAATGCTATTATGGCCCTGAGGACCCCCAGCACAAACCTGTCCTATCCTATTACTCATTGCCAAGGTCTTTCAAGCACACCCAACGCCCCGGGGAACTGGAGGAAGGAGCCCGGCATCAGCACCTCCGCCTTTCCTCCAGCTCTGGTCGTCTTCTCTACACTGCAGCAGCAGAAGATTCTTCCTCTTCCACCAGCAGCGACAGCCTGGGTGGGGGCTACTGTGGGGTGAGGCCAGAGCCTGGCCTCCCACACCCCCACCACCACGTCCTGCAGCCCCGTCTGCCCCGAAAGGTGGACACAGCTGCACAGACCCACAGCCGCCTGGCCCGGCCTACAAGGCTATCCCTGGGGGATCCCAAGGCCAGCACCTTACCTCGGGCTCGGGAGCAGCAACCACAGCCACCCCTGATACACTCTCCAGAGCCCAAAAGCCCAGGGGAATATGTAAATATTGAATTTGGGAGTGACCAGCCTGGCTACTTATCTGGTCCCATGGCTTCCCGCAGTGGCCCTTCTGTCCGGTGTCCCTCTCAGCTCCAGCCAGCTCCCAGAGAGAAGGAAACTGGCACCGAGGAGTACATGAATATGGACCTGGGCCCTGGCCGGAGGGCAGTCTGGCAGGAGGGTGGTGGGGCTGAGATGGGCAGAGTGGGCCCAGCACCTCCAGGGGCCACTAGTGTTTGCAGGCCTACCCGGGCAGTGCCTAGCAGCCAGGGTGACTACATGACCATGCAGATGGGTTGTCCTCGTCAGAGTTACGTGGACACCTCACCCGTCGCTCCTGTCAGCTATGCTGAGATGCGGACAGGAATTGCAGAAGAGGTGAGCCTGCCCAGGGCCACCATGGCCACTCTCTCTTCATCTGCAGCAGCCCCTGCTTCCCCCACACCACCTCCAGGAGCAGCTGAGTTGGCTGCCCACTCATCCCTGCTGGGGGGTCCACAGGGACCTGGGGGCACGAGCGCCTTCACCAGGGTAAATCTCAGTCCCAACCGCAACCAGAGTGCCAAAGTGATCCGTGCAGACCCACAAGGGTGTCGGAGGAGGCACAGCTCAGAAACCTTCTCCTCAACGCCTACTGCCACCCGGGTGGGCAACATGGTGCCCTTTGGAGGGGATGCTGCAGTCGGGAGCAGCGGTGGTGGCAGCAGCAGCAGTGAGGATGTGAAACGCCACAGCTCTGCGTCTTTTGAGAATGTGTGGCTAAGACCCGGGGAGCTAGGGGGAGCACCCAAGGACACAGCCCAAGTGTGTGGGGCAGCTGGGGGTTTGGAAAATGGTCTTAACTACATAGACCTGGATTTGGTCAAAAACTTGAAACAGCGCCCTCAGGAGCGCCCCCCTCAACTGCAGCCTCCCCTGCCCCCAGCCCCTCATCAGCCCCTGGGTGGCAGTGAGAGCAGCTCAACCAGCCGCTCCAGCGAGGATTTAAGCGCCTATGCCAGCATCAGTTTCCAGAAGCAGCCGGAGGACCACCAGTAGTTCGACTGGACATCACAGCAGGTGCGTTTCACGGAGTCAAAGTCCTGAGACAAAACTGCTTTAACCTTGTGCTTGAATTCTGTTCTCCACCCCCGCCCCTTGCTGTTCCTTCCCAATGCTTCCTTGGAGAGAATGCATGGGGGTTTCCGGGCTGAGCATTCAGATACCTCACAACACCTGGCTGACAGTCAGCTAAGTGTATAGGAGCAAGCAGCCACAGGAGGGCTTTTTCCTTTGAGAGTCCCAAGTGAAGTACTTACTGTACTGTTTTAAAACTTTATAATACCAGTTCTGATATTTGTCAAGTTCATGTACATATATAGAAGAACCTTCATCCTATTATTGGCATCGTTTTCTAATGTTATAGTAAGGTCAGCCCCTGGAAGGGACTAATGTACAAAAATACTTGTTAGTACAGAGACTAAGCCCTTATTTAAGTTTCTCAGAGCTCTGAAGAGTGATCTTACTGAGTTGCTCTGTGATTTCACAATACCAAGGCAACATTAACAGCAGCAGGAAACATTAATTTTTATTCCTGCTGGCCTAAAAAGATTCAGGAGTCAGAGCTTTATAGGCATACATTCTTAGGAATACTGATCTATGATCCCTTAAGTAAGTAATTATAGGTGACATTTTCTTTTTGTTCCCATACCAGGATTTGTGAAATATTTTTCACACACCAAACCACCATCTCCCAGGCATGGCTACTTTTATACAGGATATGCAATAAACTGAATGCGCCTGGGACTCATTATGAGTTAAGAGTTATGGAAGTTCGTCCCAGCATGTCTGTCTTGCAGTTGTCTGCTCTTGCCCTGAAGCATCACACATATCATTTGTGGGCTACTGTACATCTTCCATAAAATTACTTTACATTTTTATGGTGAAAAGAAGGTGCTAACGTGAAGTCAGAAATGGAGGCTATGTTGTTTTGGTTTGCACTGAATGGGAGCGGGGTAAGTTGTGTACTCTTCTTCACTCTTAGGTTGTTTGTTGTTCTTGAAGTTCAAGAGGAGATGCCTCAGAAATGTTGAAAGTTGGCTTTAGGTCTTCTGTGGTTAAGGCTGTATTGAGAATGAAAAACATTTGCAATAGGAAATTGGCCTGCTCTTTGCTCTGTGAGCGTATTTTCTAGTGGTCATAATTGTGGGTAGAAAAAGAGTATAGTTTGCAAATAATGTGATGAGTTGGCAATGTAGACATTTTTAGCATTTGGAAACACTTTATTCTGACAAAGTGATTATATTGTGATTTTGAAATGCTGCACAAAATGAGGTTTTAGCAACATTTCAACTTCTTGTTATGTGCCCATTCATAAGAAATTGATTCGTGTCTTGAGTTATCAGTAGGTAGGTATTAGCGTATTATGTGGTCAGTCTCCTTGAGCCTGGACACCTGACCAGTTTCATTCTGTATTTTGTAGAACAAAGTACTGATCCATGAATATTCAAACTAAAATTTTAGGTGATAATGCTGTGAAAAGTACATACTTGGTTAGTACATATCTGAACATTGTTTTCCGTCATTCACTAGATGAGAGATGTAATTGTGCATGTCAAAGGAAAAATTTTGGGTATTTTAGGTGGTGTTTTGGGGGAGAATCCCTGTTCCACTTTACCCACTTGGATTGTAAAATGCTTCCTTTATTACTTAATGACAATTGGAAGCAAAGAAGCCCAGCTGAACTAAAATTTTGCTTGTAAAGGAGTCGAATGAAGAGGCTAAAAAACAATGAACTTCCCTTCACAAATTTTTTTTAACTTGTAGAATAAATCTTGCCCTGAACAAACCAACCAGGTAATCAAGGGATTTAAAATCTTTTATGTTGAGCATACATGCAAACCAAACAAAAACAAAACAAACCCCAACCATCTATTCTTGGCTTTCCTAGGAAAGTCTTCTCTAGGAAAGTCATAGGATAATATCTCTAAAAATCCTTAAGTAGCACTGGACCATGCTTTGGCCCTACCATGAGAACAAACAAACTACAACAGTAACTAAATGTGTATTTGTAAGAGGTAAATGCGTGTCTTACCTTGGGCACCCTGCTATATTCGCATCCTCAATCCTGTTAGCTTGCCTCCTTTGCCCTTTTAGGTTTAAAGAGGATATTTATCAGTATTCATCTGAAACAGAAAGAAGTCAGACCTGTCAGTGGCAATCAGGTTTTGTTCAAAACAAGTAGGTTAAAGTTTGAGAGAACCCTGTTTTTCGAACTTCCTCATCAACTGCAGTCTTTGCATCAGTTAAAACCTGAAACAGACCAAGAAGAATAAAGATGAGGAACGTGTGCTCTTTCTCCTAGTTTGTCTTTTGAACATCTCTGTTCAGTGTGTTTTGCTGTGCTCTGAAGGACATTCACGTGCGCAGGACGTGGTGGATCCGGCCACCTTTTCTCCTTTCTCTTGCCCACCTTTGTGTCTCCTGCAATTTAGTTCTGACCTGCGGGATTATTTTATGCCACCGCTCCCTCCCATTGCCTTTGTTTCCCACCCCTTATTGCTTGTTCCGGGCACTGGCTTTTGTTGTTGTTCTTTTGTTTTAGAATTTCACCGTTCAGTACTTGTGGCGTGCTCCCTGCAGGGATTCTTGGGGAGCCCCTAGGACAGCAGCCCAGCCACCTCGGGCCAGCATGCACCTCCAATTCGTCTTGTAGTTTTGACAGGGCAGCTGGGTAGAGGGCTGGCTCCCGGGACAGAGATTGCAGCCATCTCTATGGGGTTCAGTTTTTGTTTATTTGCCATTCTTTTGTTATGCTTCGCCCTCTTAAAAAAAAGAATTGTGCCATTTTTCATCTTTGCACTGCTTTTTCCACCCGCGATTTCAGGGGTTCCGTCCTCTGCTGGTTCCCTCTTTCTCCCAGTTCTCTTCTCCGAGTGGCCTTCCGAGCAGGCGCAGACCCCCTCTGCCCTGCCACTTTCCCTTTCAGGGGTCACCTCCGCTTCCTGCATTCCTCCCTTTTATTTGGTCCTTGCTTCCCGGCCCTGCGCCCCTGCGGGATGGGGGTGGGGGATCTGCCCGAGGCCGCGGGGTCTCTGCACCCCCGCCAGTCTCGGGCGTGTGGGCCTCTTCCCAGGCCACGTGTTGGGCAGTGGAGAACGAGACCCCGCCCCTACGACTTCGCGGGGCGGGGCGACTGGGGGCAGATTGGCCCCAGCCATAGCCAATCATCACGAGAAGTGGCTGGCTGGAGGCGGGGCCTGAGGTGGGGGCGGGGCCAGCGACGGGCCAAGCGTCCCCGGCTGCTCTCCTACCCTGCTCTGTCCTCTTCCTTCCGGGCGGGGGGGGGAGCTGAGCCAACCCGGCTCCCCACCCCGCCCCCATCGGAGGATGGGGTGCCGGAGTCCCTATTCGTGCTTCTAGACCACAATCCCAAGAATGAAAGAGTACAACTAGCCCGTTGACAGAGGCCGGAAACACACTTCCTCTTATTTTTAATTGAGAAAAATTCAGGCTGTGACCATGTGACGTGCCCCATTTTGTTTCCCTCCTGTCTTTACTATGGTTTACTACGACGCCACGTTCTTTCATCTTCCTGTCTTGAAATCCACAAGGAGGAGCGAGCGACAGCACGTGGCTGTGGGATTGATGGGGTTGGCTCGAGATTCTTGTATTTACATCTCCTGGGAGCGAGGCGGAAATGCAAGCGCTGGGGTTGGCACCGTTTGGGGTCATTCGGAGACAGAAAAAAAAAATCCTTTGACTTGAAAGTACCGCGCGCTCTGTGCCCTTTATTGAGCACCTGCAGCTTGCAAAGCAGCATAGCTACAGTGGGATCAAGGAAAGCTGATCTTTCCTGGCCTGCCGTGAGCTCAGAGAAGAAAACGTAGGCAATAGCTTGCAGATCCGCAAGAATCCTGAGCTCCAGTAAAAAGCTGGAGGGGTGTGCTCCTTAGCAAAGTTCAGAGACATGCTGCTGACTTTCTCAAACACAAGATGATGATGATGATGATGATGATGATGATGATGATGATGATGATGATGATTTTATTTATTTATTTGCCAATGACTGCCAATCATATCTGGCTTTGAGGTTCTGAAAGCTTTCTAGATTTGTGTTGCACCCCATCTCATGACAAAATTTTGTGAGATGTATTAGTATACGCGATAGAAAACGTTTTCAGAGTTGTCTTTCCTCAAAGACAGTGAGAAAGCGAAATACTACGCACGTGTGGTCTCCTCTTCCTCGCAAACAATCATTTCTCAGCAGCTCAGTTCCAAGCTCCAAAGGTAGCACTTTTGCTCAGGTGCGGCTCGATGAACCAATACTGCTTCAGAGTGGCGCGAGGGAGTTGCTGTGTCCTCCCAGAATATTTTGAAATATTTTGAAATGAATAGCCATTTAAGTGAATGGACAGTCTTAATTTTTTGTCATTGCTTAGGAACTGTTACAAAACAAATCCATAAAAAAACTTCTAGAGGTTGTATTTATCTTAATGTCTTCTTAACCACTATTTCCAGTGTTGTGTTACTGAGAGGGACTTGGGATCCCTGAAGGGCATGCCGCTATTTTTGTTTTGTTTTCTTTATCAAAATTCCTGGAAACTACTTTGGTGCTATCTTGAATGATGCAATGGAAAGGGCAGCTCCCGTGAGCGAGTGATCTCAGCTTCCAACCAAGCCTGTGCCCTTTACCAGCTGAGTGACCTTGAGCCAGTCTCTTAACTTCCCTGAACCTACTTCCTCATCTGTAACTTGAGAATTTTGTTCTAAATTATTTTAACCTCCTTCTAGCTCTAAACACTAGAATGTTATGGAGAGAATGACCAATATTCTTTCATGGGGGCATTTGTGATGGGGATTGTTTTTTGAAGAAGCTGTTGATGGGGTCATAATAAAGTGCCCTGGAATATCCTGTTTCTTCCTTTTCTAGTCCTGACATCAGATGCTCTTTTTGGTCAGACTGGGCCTTTGAAGAAAACCTTGTGTTTGATTCAGTGGTGTTTTAACATTTCTTGTTTGAGGGGAAGATATTTTTTTTTTAATTTTTTAATTTTTTAATTTTTTTATTTTTCAACAAA